CAGAGATGATTTAATTTATTCACAAATAGATATAGATATTTCGGTTTTGACTGAGTTTAACTCACCTGCCCAATGATGTTTATACTACATTATCATTCTGCTGCATGGTTAGTAGCCGAGCAGAATGGGCTTCAGTTCTAAATTTTAATTTTCTTAATACTACTATCAAAATGTTTTTCAAACAAGTTTTTTGTATGTCTTCTTCAGCTTGATTATTGCTAGATTGCTTTTATAACATTTCTCTGCATACCTTCCAGAGTAAGAAGCATATATCTGCATAATAAATGTTGTTTATCAGTTGATCAATTGATTGACCTAACGATCTAATAGTTGATGATCTATGATCTTTGTGACTATGTGATCTTATGATCTAATTTTTGTGTTCTCTGTTAGTAATAACATTGAGGTGGATATCACTAACATTTCTATGAATCCCTTTTCATTCCCCTCAGCCTCAATTAATTGTGCCCTTTCTATATTACTATCATATCTTGGCTTGCTCTATTTTATATTCATCTTGAATTTGATATTGTTATTTTCTTAAACAAATTACAATGTGATTCTTAATCAGTGCCACTGTGTAGTACTACCACAATGTGCATGCTTAACTCAAGATTTGCTTGTCTTGTGAGTGGATAAACAAGAAACATCTTCCTGAAAGATTGTATGCCCTTGGCAGAGCTCCTGTCTCCTAGTTATGTATGCTATTTGGGCTCATGCCCTCTCTTTCACGTTACATAGAGAGCATACTCATAAATTCCACAGAATTATAAACCAGTCATTTTTATGGCTACCATTAACACTATATTTTTTTCTGTTAGTTCTCCATTATAGTCATTTAATCAAATTAATGTTGAGTAGCTGATATGCAACTCATGAGTTTATACACCTCTATACCTCGAGGTTTCACTGCAATGGACAAACTAACACTCATGCAATCACTGTAAACACAGAATACACTCTTTCTAAGATTTTATATATTTTGTATCCAATAATCTATAAGTCTAAGAAGTTATATTCATATATGTGTTTTCTATGTAATTGTTAGCTAAAGATAATTTCATAATAATTCCAAATTTCCTCTTTTTAGATAATGCAGAATAACCCAAAGGACTAAATTACTCAGTTAAACAAACTATTTTAATTATACAGAAATGCAGACTTAACTTTCAAAGTTTCCTGTGGACATTTAGGTGAAACTCTATGCAGTGGCTGAGTTAGCATTTTTTCTGGCTCTTAAATTATATATTTTGCTTTGTTTCACCGAGTTGATATAACGTCTGCACTTGAAAAGCAAAGTGAGAATAAAATAATGAAATTGTCTACCCTATTTTTAAAAGAAATTGTCCAGATTTTAAACTAGCATCTTTTGGTAAAGAGAGTATAATTTTTTTTTTTATTCTGACGGTGAAAGTTTTTTAAAAATCCATTAAACTTTCATATGGACAATGTGCTGTCTATTTTACTAAGAATAATGGATTAGCTAAATATTCTTCTTCAATGTTTTGTCAGTCTCCCAATATATCTAAAGTGTCTATCATATGCCATTCAGAAAGATGTAGTCAGCACTGACAGAGAGGATAAATGATTCAAAGAGTGATGGAAATACCATTTTGAAATCTACTCTTCATTCTGTTTGTATTTGAACATTTGTTAGATGTTAAATATCTTGCAGCTTCCACGACAGTGGATGATTTCAAAACAGTATTTCCTTTACAATACAAACATTTCCTTATTTTCTCAAGTACCAAGTAAATTAAGAGAAAAATATGAATGCAGCTCTGAGTAAAAGGGAGTAAATGAGAAAAGTCTCTCAAAATGGCAACCTAATAGAAGGAGGAGAAGCAAACTTTCAAAGAATGAACAGATACCAAAGGATTAAAGACACTCTTCGGAATTCCTCAATATTCCATTAAAAACATAGAGAGGAAAGAAGCTATAATTAATGACTGTTTTCGCTTGCTCACAATTTTTTGACCTAAATTTATTTTAAATTAAATGGGAAGACCAGCATTGTCTGTATACAAACTATTGATGAGAAATCATAAATTAGCCTTTAAGCATATTGATTGTGAGTGCTTGTGGATTTTACTGGAGTGCCTCTGCAAAACACATTGAAAAATATTGTCCTATCATATTGTCATATGATACATGTCTTTCTCTGATTGACTTATTTCGCTCAGCATAATACCCTCCAGTCCCATCCATGTCGTTGCAAATGGCAAGAGTTCATTCCTTTTGATGGCTGCATAATATTTCATTGTATATATATACCACATCTTCTTTATCCATTCATCTGTCGATGGACATCTTGGCTCTTTCCATAGTTTGGCTATTGTGGACATTGCTGCTATAAACATCGGGGTGCACATACCCCTTTGGATCCCTACATTTGTATCTTTGGGGTAAATACCCAGTAGTGCAATTGCTGGGTCATAGGGCAGCTCTATTTTCAACTTTTTGAGGAACCTCCATACTGTTTTCCAGAGTGGCTGCACCAGCTTGCATTCCCACCAACAGTGTAGGAGGGTTCCCCTTTCTCCGCATCCCTGCCAACATCTGTCGTTTCCTGACTTGTTAATTCTAGCCATTCTGACTGGTGTGAGGTGGTATCTCATTGAGGTTTTGATTTGGATTTCCCTGATGCCGAGTGATATTGAGCATTTTTTCATGTGTCTGTTGGCCATTTGGATGTCTTCTTTGGAAAAATGTCTGTTCATGTCTTCTGCCCATTTCTTGATTGGATCAACCCTCATGAAGATTTAAAATAGTGTTTTTACAAACACTTTTCAAATAGACAAAGGATCTAAAAATGCTTTATCGATGTGTTACACAACAGGTACTTTTAAGACTCTAAGTGTGGGTTGTCCTACCGCAGACTTTCAGAGAGCACAAAGTAGAGATAAGCATATGTGAATATACTTGTACATGTGCCGCTTTCTAATAGAATGGATTGTACATCAAAACATAAGAAATCAGCAGTTTTAAAAAGAATTAGACCAACTTGAAAGTATCAGAGAAAGTGAAAAGTGAAAAGAAGCCCTTGGATCTTCAAATTACTATAGGAAGAAAGTAACACGGTTGCAAACACTATGGAAAATAATAATTCAGAGGGCAAAACAGCCAAAAATGCAGAACCAAGACTCACGGAGAATAACATATGAAGGAACCTGGCACGTATTTCCGGCTGGATTTCAGAATTGCTGTGGGCAAGTGTCTCCTATGTGTCCTTTTCTCCTTCTGTGTATATATGGAGAATATATGGTGGTTTTGCCATTCCTGTCTCCTCACCATTGTATGTTGGAGGTGGTGGTAGAAGGCACATATCTTGTCTCTTTAGTTCACAGATTTTCAGATTGAGACGAATGATATTCAAGGAATTATATCCAAGGAATTGCATCTGAGAGTGCTTATCTGAACTCAAACATGACTTAGCTATGGATACCTCAAACCTCAAACTGATTCTGTAATGAGAAAAGATTTAGGAGTCTTAGGATAGGTGATGTGGCTATATTTTCATGTGAAATGATGTCATTGTGAGAAGATTGGCAGATTATATATTATAAAGATGGTCATAAATATATCTCTTCTTATGTGGTAACTTTGACATTCTTCCCTTCAATAAGGGGAGTTTATATCTTATATCCCTGATCTTGAGTCTGGGAAGACTGGAGGTGATGATGGAAATGACTATATGTGTCTGCCTACACTAGGTAATAATAGGAGTGTAACTTTTGCCCTGCAGGCTGGAACAATTGTGCCGGAATCCTAAGCTGCTTCCTAAACCATCTGATGTTTTGTAAGGCTTCCATGTTGTAAGGACACCCAGTTTAGTTCAGACGGAGACTCTAGGACTACACGAAGAGAGTAAGAAGTCAGCCATTCCTCAGCTACTTTTGCATACCTCCACCCTACCTGCTACTATTTCATCACCAGCCACTATCTGGGTATGATCTCATGAGTTATCTTGACAGAACCACAAATTGAGCCCTTTCTGAGTTCTTGATACACAGAAACTAGGAGATAAGAAAAATATTTGGGGTAATTTTAAGCCACTAAGTTTGGGTGATTTTCTATGTAGATGTAGGTAACAAGAACCCCTAACCAGTCAAATTTTTATTTCAGATGTTTTGGGTTTTATTTCTACAAGTTTTATTTGATTCTTTAGTATGTATAATCTATTTCCCTCATCATGTTTGTTTTTCTTTAGGTCCTTGAGCATGTTTATAGCTATTTTAATATCTTGTGTTATTCTTCCATTATTTCTGTCATCTGCATCAGTTTTTATTGACTGATTATTTCTGGGTTATGAGTCATATTTTCCTACTTCTTTGTGTATTTAATAATTTTGGGGTTGGCTATTGGACATCATAAGTTTTATTTTAGAGTTTTCTTTTTTCTTTTTCTTTTTTATCCTTTAAAGACTGTTGAAGTTTGTTTTGACCAGTAGTTTATTTATTTGCAAATTAATTTGTAAACCTTTAGAGGTCTCCCTTGAATGCCCCAGGTATTTATTTCTTTGCATTCTGGATGATCAGAATTTAAACATCTCTTATCCCAACATGTGTTTATTTAGGAATTATTCAGTACCACCCTCTACCCATCCAACCCAGTACTGGTTCTCTTCCTAGCTCCTAGGAGTTTCATTCTAGGCATCCCATGCTTTATGTTTAACAACAGATTCAAAGAAAGCTTTATGAAAATTTATGGAACTCTTGTGTTTAACTAGCTCCTATCTTGTACTTTGCCCCTCAAATTCCAGCCCCTTTTATGTATGTGTCTCACTGAACACAGACAGGCTGCTATTGTCTGTTTCCATTAGCTCTTCCTGCATCACAATATGGAAGGTGCCTCCTTAGGGAAGCTGGGCTGATTTTAAGACTCCAGTTATCTTCCTTCTCTTAGGAATCACAGTCCTGTGCTGCTATTTTCCAATTGGGAAATCCTGTGTTTGAAAACACATGTTTCATGTATTTTGTCCTATTTTCTCATTCTTTTTTTTTAATACAGAATGCCTCACGAGTTTGTGTGTCATCCTTGCACGGGAGCCATGCTAATCTTCCCTGTATCGTTCCAATTTTAGTATATGTGCTGCTGAAGCAGGCACCTATTTTCTCATTCTTTATTGTAGGAGGCCCAGTAACTCCATCAGAGTGGAAGTGATGGCCTCAAGTCTCCGTAAAACTAATTTTTTAAAACTAATTTTCTAAATTATCACCCACCGTTTTCCCCCCATGACATGTTCTAATTTATTTTTTGTAACTTTATCTTCCAATGTGGTACATCAGCCTGGTCATCCTTCTAGTCTATCTAGTGTTTTCTCTAAAGACCACATTTTCCAAGTTTACTGTTTCTGTTTTATTCTTGGCATTTCCTTTAAACTCCCCTTGTTATTTTATAGATTCTATTTATTTTTCTTTAGAAGTTTAAATCATAAAGTCCTCATCATCTTTAAATTTTTAGCTATTCACTTGTTTGTGTTGTCTCATAGTAGTGGATTCTCATGTGTTTTGCAGATTTTTCCTGTGGATGTCAAATCGGTAGACGTTTTCTTCTTTGAAAATCTGTTATACCTGTGTCTTAGGTTAAGCAGTTGTCCTTGTAGAATATTTTTATTTTGTTTTAGCCAGGGTCATGTGGACTGGTTTAAAGACCAGTTTTATATTAGTTTCTCAGTTTGAGTTTAACAGGTTAATTTTATTTGGGACCCAGTACTTCTATATGCATAATGCCTGGTTTTCTAACATCCATATTACTTAAAAAAAAATTAATGTTTTTTTTTCTTTTTTTTCCAGTCAAGATTTGGGACTGCTAACTTACTTTTGGCTGTGCCCACTCTGTGTCTCTGCCAGCAGGGGCAAAGTTTTGTTCCTATTGTGATGTCAGCGTATGTCAGGGTTTCTCTTTTGTCAGGCTCTCTGACATGTAAACAAACAAGCAAACAAAATCTGTTTTAGTGCTTCATCAAGAACTGGTCTTACTGCCTTAAGTTCATTCCTAAAATAGGTGCCTAAACCTCAAATTGTATGTCCATGTCCAATATATTTGTGTGGTATTTGTATGTTAGAATTAAGAAGAAAGTCTTGTGATGTGGCTTTAATCTGACATCTTGAGCAGAAGTTGTAATATCAATATGTTATCTCTCCTCTTCTTTGTCAAAGTAACTTACATTTGTGAATACTGTTAATCAGCCAAATACAATTTTCTTTTATTATGTAGGTAGTTTGATATGTTACATTAGTAATATATTAAACGATACTCTTGCTTATGATTTTGAAATTGTTGTATTTAAAAATATTTTAATATTTTAGTATATACCAGAAATTATCCTAGGTGACCTAGGGGGAACATAAACAATGGGGTTCACCAGCCCCTCTGACCATGGAGAGCATTCTGAAGGACTCCTACAGACACTCAAGGGCTGGTCCCTTTAAATTCTAGTTGCCCTTTTAAACCGCAGCTAGGTTTTTTTTTTTTTTATGCCCCAAGGCAGACAAATCTGCTCCTAGTCACTCAGTACTATTTCTCCCCACTGCAGTTCACACTCTCCGGAACTGGGGTTCCTGTGGTTACCCTGTCTTCATCTCTTGCTGTTTCCATGAGGTTCCTCTACCCTTTGGGGTGCAGATGCTATTCAGTAAGTCCTCAGTTCTTCTTAAGTAGGAATTGCTCTATATGTAGGCGTCCATTCGGTGTGTTTGTGGAAGAGGTGAGTTCATGATCTTTCTGCATCGCCATCTTGGACCCTCTCCTATTCATTAAATTATATATATGCCCTATATACATATATTTGTATAAATATTTGCCATATATATGCATATGTCCTATATTTCTGAAAAATTCTATGAATTCTGTTAGGATTTTAAAAAGCCTTGAAAGGGATGACATTTAAATTATATTATGGACTATAATATTTACAGATAATATGATTTATGGGTTTTGTTTCAATATAATATAGAAGTTGGTGGAGTATCAATTTAAAAAGATTGACCATAAATTAGTCATTTTTGATCCTGGATGATAACTACATAGGAGTATATTATACTATTCTCTCTACTTTTTAAAGTATAAGAGTTTTCCATTAAAATATTTTAAAAATATTATATCTTTTCAAACTTTTTAAGCAGCATAAAATTATGGCATTCCATGAATTCTTTTATTATGTAAAGATATGTACTTTGCATTCAAAAATTTAAACTCCCTATGTATTGCTAAAGTTGTGCTATTTAAAGAAGAAAATTTCAAAATTGCATCTAAATAGAAAACAAAACTATTGAAAAGCTAATAAACCCTAAGCAGGAGCCTCATTACACAACAGGGCCTTATTATCAATTCCATTTATTGTTAATGACATACACTTGGAGCAATGGCTCTAACTGAAGCTTAATTTGAAGACAAAACAGCAAGGTTTTTAGGCCTTTTTTTTTTTTTTCCTTTTGTAGTAAGTTTCTCAATGTGAAATTTGAAAAAAGGCAGAGTATTTTATTGTTGGAATCTAATATTCACCCAGAATATATCCTTTTTGAAAGAACAATATAGAAAGATAATTGGGGAGAAGTAAAAGGTATGTGGAACGTTATGTTGAATGCTTTCTCAAATCAATGTAGCTAGTACTAAATCCAGGTTACACTAATATTAAAAACATAATGTCATTTGTTACCTCTGAATGCCTTTTGGCACACAGTACAAGGACCACAGCTGGGCCTTTAGCATGTTATTGATGTGTTTAATGAAGCCATCCTCTTGTATTGTTAGTTGTCCTTTTTAAAACAAAAGTATTTTTCCTGAATAGTTTGACTATCTTTTTGATATTTTTCAGCTTCTTCAATCAGTTATTTTCCAGGCAATATTAATCAAGCAGAAAGATACCATTTTTGAACATGGATACTAACCTTCTATAGAATCATTTTAACTAGGAAAAAAGCATGATATTGTATTCTCATTCTCCTAAGATTCACTAGATTGGCTTGAAAGTAAACTAAACTACAGTTAAAAGAATCCTGCTTTCTCTAAAGCAGACTGTTTACACCCAGGGAAATTTTTATGTCCCTTGTGGTTGAAGGCACTGTGGAACCAGCTTGAGTTATTAAAGAAGATTGTAAACCGTTAACTATTGCTAAGGTCTATTCAGATCTGTTCCTCAAAACATCTAAAGGACATGAAGTCTGGCTTCATTTCTTTGATAGAGTATATTTCTACTACATCAAATACATCTCTGTATACTGAGCGAGGGAGTTACTCTGTATGTGTGTCTCAGTAGTCTCTATACCTTGTCCACTAAAGGTCTTCCTTCTATAAAGAAGAAGAGGAAGAAGTCAATTTTCTTTTATTTAATGATGACCTTTATCAATTTGCATTTTGGAAACTAATAAACAACAATAAGACTTTGGATATTAAAATACTTCTTATCTCTAACTGGAGATAAGATATGGCCTACTATATTTCTGGAGTGGAAACACTTAGCCTGAAGGTAATACATGCTTTTTTTCATTTCTTTCTGATAAGAAAGAGTCACTTCCCTTTGATTTATAGTTCTCATAAAGTAGGTAATATATTTCATGATTAATTTTAGCTCCTAATCATATGCATATTGAATAAGAGATTCAGAAAAGACTGTAAGAAAATAACTATGTACCTTTACTTACATTTAATAGTCAGTATGATTTATGCATTCAACACATATTTTTTATCATGGCTTTTTTTTTTTTAATGAATCTTGTGGAAATATAGTGGCAGGATAGCTATCATTTTAGATCATCTTTTTATATTCTAAATTTAAAGACAACATAGACATTTGTTTCTGCCTAGGCCCCACTTCTAGGCCCTACTGTCTACTTTAATCACTGTAAAGTCAATTAGGTGAGCAAAGACTTTAGTTCTGCTTAAATGCAATCTTACTTTGTCTTCTCTAGGGCCTATTTCTTGTACCTCTGCAATTTGTGAGGTCTTTGGGAAATTACTGGGACTCATTTGTGAGCCACCCAAACTTCAGGGGGCATTAACACCTTTGGAACCATCCTTGACCAATGAGGACAGGGATGCAGTGCATAAAATGTCTTCTTGATGTGGTTTTGGAATATAGGTGAGGTTCGGTGGGGTGAGGTCCGGAGCCGACTACCAAGGAAGAATTCTTGAGATGTCTTTGTTGCAAAATGGTGGTTTATTAAAACACGGAGACAGGACCCATGGGGCAGAAAGAGCTGCTGAACTGGGGTCTTGAGGAGTAGTGATTATATACTCGAGAGTTGGGGGAAGTAAGGAAAAGGGAGGTTTCAAAGGACTTTGATATGCTAAAGAGGCCTGACCTACAAGATACCTACAAGATACCTACAAGATACCAGAGGCCTTGCATTGTCAAGTTAAGATTGTTTTCCCCTCTAGCAAGGCATTAACATTAAGACAGTTGGGAGATTCCTGGAAGAATGTCACACATGTCCCACCCAAGAGTAGGGGGTAGGGGGTGGTTGCAGGGTGTCAGCTTATGCTTTGTCTTCAGCCAGCCTTCTGCTCCCTCATCATTCTTCTTTGTCCCATGGGAAGACAGATCTGACGGTATTGCCTTGTCAACACGAGCCACCTATAAAGGTACTAACCCAGTAATTCACTCTACTGTCTTTCCTCTTCTTCAGTTTCATAATGCCTTAGCGCCTCATCTCCCAACACCGCAAAATTTTGCTCCCTGAGACAATAATTGCAAATAAACCTCTGTCTCAGACTTTGATAAACTAAGTTTTTGATCTGGCACAGATTGCTTGAGGTCAAATCCTGACTGTTTCATAGCAGTTGTTACCTTACGGTGTTATTTAACTTCTCTGAGCCTCCATTTCCTTATATGTAAAACAGGAATTGTGCATTCCACAGCAATATTATAAAGGTTAAAATTACATAATTATGTAAATTATTTAGAGTATGTTTTGCCTGTGGGACGCACTATAGAAGCATGTGATTTTATTCTGTCTCATATATGTTATCTAATTAAAAAGTAATTATTTTAGGAATTTTACACAGTCACCCAAATTATTTGTGGCAGACTATATAATGAGTTTTAATAATTTTTTTTTACTTAATATAAATGCTAGTCTATATACTCTGGGTTCACTGTCTTTC